ATATATATATATATATATATATATATATATATATATACAATAAATAAGCATGGACATTGTCCGTCTGCTTGGAATTAGCTTTACCTGTTGCTCTTGCCAGTAAAAACAGTTCAGTACACATTTACGAAAATATAAACAGAAAAAAAAAAGCCCAAGAGTTGAATATTAATAAGTCAGATTTATTAAGTATAAACCACATAAACTTTAACGTCATACAGTCAAACATATCATGTCCATATATTTTTTAATGGTAACCATGATATTGCTTAATAATTTAATTATTTTATCAGGGATGCTCTATACCTTACTGATATGTTTTTAAACATGTAGATTGCGTTCAGATTCTCTTCATTTATCATACAAAAGAATTCATAATAAGTTAAAATATTCTTTCCGAAGTATTTTATTCGAAATTCCCTCAGAACTGTCCATACTGCAATGAACTGATACATATTTTCTATTTCGTTTAATTTGCACAGATAACAAATATGGCTGCCGATTCCATCTATTCAGTTATTAAATTATAGTAATTCCCCTCCTACTTTTATAATTGTGCTTATAAAATGCATAGACTAATTTTGAGTGAAATACAGTTTTGGTAGGTTCTGATTTGAATATTTGTACAGGAAACGAAATTTATCATCTATAGTTTTATTTGTAATAACAATATCCCACTCATTTTTCAAATCTCTAATTAATCTATCAATAAATAAATTACTGTTTTTTGAGCCTAATTCATTAAGAACATCTGCATTTAGTCTGTGCCCCAAGAGATTAGCTTCTGTACTCAAAATAATTTTTTGTTAATCATACCATTGGCCAACATTTTTGGTAGTCGCGATAATGGCATTTTTATGACTTTGTTAATATAGTTCAAGTGTAAAGATAGTGATTTTTTATGGAAAATGGCATTAAACTTTTGTTTACACATCGAAAGAATCAATCGAAAAAAAAAAAAAGAGAAAAATAATGTATTGAAGATAATACTACCCTAGTATATAGGGTTGCTTTATACACAGCATTCTGATTAATCCGTATGAACATAGCTCCTACGTATGAACATTACATTATTCCATCATTATTACTTTATTTTCCCAATGACTATATACAAAAATTCCTTCAAAACTTCATCTTGGAATCTTCTGATAACCGCAACGTCGAATCCATATTGAATATCGATTGTATATATAAGTTAAATAAAATTTACTATTATATGATGGGAGTACACAAAGTGCATACACAAAATTGTTGCTCATAGCCCATGTTCTATTAAGCGTTGTTTTTAGTTTATCTTAAGAGTAATATTTTGTATATATTTATAAATATTTTTATTTTTTATTGTTTCTATCATAATAACTGGTTCATATAACTAATATTATGCATTAATCGTTTTATGTTTTTAATTTTTATTGTTATTCATGTTTTGTGAAACCCATTCTAAACGTTAAATATTGTAAATTTTATTTATATTTAAACTATATGTATATAAATTTGTAAAAACATATTATTTTACAATAGCCAAGCTAGGCTTTATTTGTATGGGGAACCCCCTTAAAACAAATAAAATATCTATCAATCTATCTATCTACTTTATTTTTCCCCCCTTTTTATAACACTAGTCATATATACTATCACTAATATACCACATTAAACAAAAAAGAGTTCTAATTCTTGAAATACAAGAATTTTCCAAATTTCACCAGAAACTCACTCATCATCCAAATCCTGTAGCACAATTCTTATCTAGCTGCAGTCAACCTTATAATCCTCCCCGGAGGTTAAAACGGCAGCGGCCCCGTGACCTTTTGTAAATATGTATATATTGGAGTACTGGCAATGGCCACATTCTCCACTGAAGTCCTGAGCGTCTGTTGCTCTTGTGCCCTACATCAGTCTCTATTGGCTTGCGATACCAGTGACGCGGCTGGGAGAGAAGAACTGGGATCTCCTGGGGTTCTGCCTTGGCTTCCACATCGGGGGACAAAGCATGACTTAGAGTCTCCTGGGGGAATGTAAATATTATATATAGGTGCGAATGTGTTTTATATTTAGTTTTTCTCTAATTTTTTTTATGTATGTATGTTAATTTTGTTATTTTACTTTCTACAAGTCTGTTTCTTTTGTCTCTATTTTAGTTATCATTTGTATGTATATATTATGTGAATGCTTAATGTAGCCCTAATATTAATGCTGGCTTCTAATACTAGTGATGCGGCTGGAAAAGTGGCACTGGGATCTCCTGGAGTCTTGCTTTGCCTTCCACATGTGGGGAAAAAGCCTGGCTCGGAGATTCCTGGGCGAATGTATATATTGTATATAGGTATGATTGTGTTTATAAGTTTCTTTTTTTTTCTTTTATTTTCTTTCTTCATCAGTATTATTTATTTACTTTTTATATTTATATTTATTTCTCTATTACTTGTATATATTGTTTGAATGAGAACTCTTAGCCCTAATACTTATAGCCCTCCAGCGGCTGATTGTATTATTATTCAATAAATAGATTAAAAAAAATAATATTAATGCCCTCCAATGCGGCAGAATGTATTAATTTAAAAAAAAAAACATTTATGCAATACATCAGCATACGATAATTATTTGATTGCCGGAAAAAAAGATAATACCATTTATAGGTTAATAAGTTAAATAAATATATTAAGAAAAAAATATAATAAACAGGTTGTTTCTTGCTGAGAAGTTGAGTTATTCAAGATTTTCAAGAAACCGAGTAGACTGGAGATGATGATTTTCAGAGAGAGAGAGAAAGATGTGTGAGGGGCGAGATTTAATAGGGTTGCAAAGTAGGAGGGGGCTCCCGAAAGGATGCATGATTAATAAAAGATCTGCCAGAGGCACTACTTTTGAAAGAAGAGGTACGGAGATGAGAAAGGACTAAGTGAATTGCAGGATCGAATTGAGGGAACGATGATGAATGAAACACAAGGGATCTATTGCTCTCTCAAGCATCAATCGATTTATTCAAAGAATAAATTGTCAGGAACATTGTATTTATTTGTTTAGTTTATCCTTCTGACTCAAAGGAGATTATGTTATAAAATAGACAATCGTATTTCTCAAGGCGACGAAGGCAAAAATATAAATAAAACATTTGTTTCTTTCATTTCAATCTTATTTAAATTAATGTCAACATATATACAGGATGGCTTATAAGTAAAGGGAAATCTTGAAAGGCTTGATAACAGACCCCAAGAGCTACGAAAATATCTTATAAAAGGAAGAGTCCAATTTTTCGAAGATAAGTAGAAAATTAAAGTTTTGTGATTTTTAGTCACATTTTTATTGAAAAGTATGCGACAACTAAAAAAATATATCTTTTGGGTTATTAATAATTGTTTTAAATTAAATTGTCTTCAAATATAAATAGACTTGCATAAAAACATTTTAAGATTTTCTAACGTAAACCTATGACTTCCCCATGCCCCACTTATCGCTGTTGAACAAAGCCGATACCTAGGACTCCATCTGGACAAACGAGTCACTTGGAATCCTCGTACAAGACTGAAACGACAAGAACTTAGGTTAAATATTATAATATACAATATACATGACAATAATAATACCTATTTGGACTTACGGAGTTGAGCTATGCGGCTCCACACAACCATCAAATTTCTCTCGTGTATAATCCTTACAATCGAAAATCCTTCATAAAATCCTCAATGCTCCTTTGTCACAAATAAAATAATCCATAAAGAACTAATGTTCCGTATGTTTCCGATTTTGCCTAATCCAGATACCTATCCTTCCATAATAAACTTCATAACCATCCGAATCCTCTTGTTTTTAACCGTGCTTCCTCTTCGATTTCTGATAAACCTCTGAGACATCTGAAAAGAAGAAAGCCTTGTGATCTTCTTATGGAGACATATTATTATAGCACTATCAATGGATAGTTATTCTACAAGCGTTTTCATGAGATCATCTTTCTCTGTACATGTTTACTTTTTACTAATACAGTTGTAAATATTATAAATGAAAAAAAAAAACATTTAAAGAGGACTTATCAACAGCTAAACAAACTTCTGTGTTTCAAAAATTTTTGAATTATTTGTGATTTTTTTTTTATTAACCTTCAACTATATTGCAGATACTACACTTTAAGATGTCCTTAATTGTAACAAAATATAATAATATTCATATATTTTCATACATTTGATAGATTGAAAAACACTGAAAATTAGACCGAAATTCACTACATACACATACCTATCCATATGGACATATGCCTCACAGATTTACAAGTTTGGAAAAAAACGTATATTTAAAACTACAATCTTCTCAATCTAAATTGTAAGACTGTATTTCAAAGTCTTAATTTCACTAATGGTTTATACCATAAATATAAAGATATTACTAATCCTGAATCCAGGTTTCTTCTTGTAATACAACTAAGGATGGGATTGGCTGAGGATGGAAGGGCCTGAGGTATTTCCTTATTATGCTGTTGCTGCCGTTTGCAGATTGAGATATTAATCCTAATTGTTTCCCTAATCCTCCTAGCAAGATGGTCCCGGTTTCCTCTGTCGGATATCCATCCTATTGGGAGGGGAGGTATCTGTAGCTTCTTAAGGGGTTAGGGACCTTGTAAGGACTCTCCAATCTATTATACCGTAACTTCGTTAACACTATCTTCTTTAATTAATTTTATGTTGTTTTTCACATATAAAAGAAAGATGCAAAATATTAAATAAAAAATGCAACACTATTTTCCTTGTCAAATTTAGAAAAATAAATAAAATCTGATCCGTAATATAAGGCTTAATTTTTTTGTCTTCATTATTAATTTACAGAAAACAATCTTGATTGCTTCAGGTGATGTTAGATATTCTAAAAATCAAAACAAAGGATACCAGCTTTGCAGCCGAATGCTTCGAAAATATTGAGAACGACATATCTTTGCACCGTGTTGTCCTATTTGAACAATTCTTGTTTTGTTTTTTGGAGATTTCGAATACTTTAAAATTATTTTGTTATTCGAAAATGTAATTTTACTAATCTCGTAACTTTTTTTCCAGCTTCGTTTTGGTGAAGTATGTTATGTTGTTGAATTATTTATATACACATATATACATAAATTTAAAGGGCTTCAAATGAGAATACCTTAGCCAAGTTTCTTCGAAATCAGTACATTAACTTAGACGCTGCAGTCTATACCGTACAGGTTTTTCGGCCGCTATCTTGAATGAAATGGGTAAATTGTAATGCCGACGTTTTGAGGATCATCCTCGGGTGCCCTTTGACCTTTATACCGAATCTCAAAACAATCGGTCCAGTAGACTCGCAGAAAAGCCAGAGTACTTGAAACGTAAAACCTCGTATATCGAGGAAGGATTAACTTTTTGTTGATCAATTACAAAGGTTGATTATTGAAAATAATAAACCAAAAAATCGTTTCCTTTAGGTTCATCAAAAATTTTGTGTTGAAGTTACTGCATTGTTATTGTAATGTTTCTAGTTATTTAATTATATTATTTTCTAGTATAGTTTTTTTTTTCATGATGTGAAACTAGTCCATCTTTTACTATTATTATATTATTGGCAACAGTAGTAGTTGCCGCATCCCAGCACACACTTTACAAAATAAATATAAATGTTCCACCCCAGCGAACAGAAGGTGTAATCGGTACATCAGATGAAAATGTTGAGAAGAGTTGAGGGTTAGGTAAACATTGGGAAGGTTATAAAACATGTAAATAAGCCGAAGAAATCCCACTAAATCAGTTAGAGAGACTGCAATGGCCCTGAAATGTATCGCACACTAACGTAAAAAACCATTTTCACAAGCTCGGCTATGTTTCCAGGCTTAATGTTTGGATCCTTCACTCTCTAACTGAAGTCAACTTGGCGACATACATTTCTATTTTTGATTCACTATGTGAATGGCAACAAAAAGACCCATTTTTTAAAAGGTTGGTTACAAGATGAAAAATGGATATTTTACGATAATGTAATCTGTTGAAAATCTTGGAGACCTGGTAGTGAGGTTCCTAGAATAATGTCAGATAATGCTTTCCATATGGTGGGGTTTCAAGAGTGTTATTTTCTATGACCTATTGCCATCAGGACAAACAATTGATTTAACTCTATACTGCTCACAATTAACAAAACTGGATCAATCAATTAAGAATAAACGCCCAGAACTGGCAAATCGGAAGGGTGTTGTTTTCCACCTAGACAACGCTACTCTCCCCACTCTCCCTATTCACCAGACTTAGTGATTACCACTTATTCCGGTCTCATCAGAACTCCATGAATGGAAAGAAATTCAAAACCACTTGGATCAGTTTTTTAACAATAAATTCCAGACATTCTATGAACATGGCATAATGGAGTTAGTAGAAAGGTGGAGAAAAGTATTATTACATTATGGTCAATATATTGCAGATTAAAATCAATTTTATGTCTATAATACATTGAGTTTTATCTCACTCTGAAAAACCGAAAGGACTTGTTTGCCAACACAATATAATAAGTGCTGCACCCTGTCGAACAGAAAAAAATATAAGCATTATGCGCCACTAAGTAACTGGTCACGTGGTGGTTATTACTGGTTTTGATTGGCTGCTCAAATCGGTATCTCAGCTCCCGCATATGTTATCTACTAACATGGTATGAATGATCTCTTTCCTCGATATAACCATTGTCCATATTGTGACTGATTTTTGATATAAGTGAATAAATAAAAGTATTCAAGTGAATATAACGAAACGAAAGCAGTATTATGCTACCACATTTTTTATAAAGGCTGTATAACTTCGAATTCCAAAATAACATTTAGATATAAAATATCATTTAAGTATTGTGGAATATAATTTATTTCATATCCCTCTGCGGATTACTTTCTTACCACAAACGTTTCCAACCTATTAGTGGAATGTTACGACCTCTTGAGAATGGTCTGAGGCCATCTTGCTGTAGCGCTCCCCTCCCCCCCCCCTCTAATAGAATTTTATCTGAAAGAGCAATAGGGCAATAAGTGGCTAGTTCTTCCCCTCCCCCGAAATATTACCCACTCACTCGCGATAATTCCCAAGCATGGAGTAAAATTTTAATGGGCCCTCTTCTCAGGTTACCACCGGTAATGGCTTCATAAACATCCTCTACCGGATAATATTCTGTGGAATTTAAAAATATTAACCAAAGGATATTCTTTCTTTATTATGAGATATAATTTTTAAGTATTAAGTCATTAACTGGCCTTTAGAAAGTTTTAATGTACTTTTATATATCTTCTTCACACCTTTAGTATCGAGATAACGGTAATGGTGGAACGATAAACACAAAAACGATACTTACTTTTTTCTTTTTTATTGACCTGCATTGAAAACCACTGTCATGAAAGTGGCAATTGGCAAATTTGATTGGTTTATAATCCTTTTATAGGTCTCTGTTTATACTTTAAATCAGGAAAGAAGATCTCTCATCCAACTTATTTTCAGTCACCTCTTGATAGGCATGTCAACCGTGGACAAGTCTATATTGTATCGTTATAGTTTAATCGGATGTAAACAGCACGTATCTGTGTGTCGATATTTGATTTCGGAAAATAGGTATGAAATGTTTTCCTCCGTCATAAATCTGTGAGGTATGATTTCCATATGGATTTAAGGAGATATATGTACACAGTTCTTCTATAAATACTGTTAAAAAAGTTGAACTTTGTTTACATCCTTGGGTTTTATTTAGATAATCCTTACCTCTATCAGGTTATTTTCAATCACAAAACTTTAAAATATACGTTTTAAAGAATAAAAGTTTTGTAAAATCTTTACTTTCTAGATAAAAAGTTCTAGTTCCAAAACAGCGGAAAAACTGTTTACAGTAAACATCCCGATCTTACCAAAACAATTTTTTTAATATTTTTTTTTCCGTTTTAAGCCCTGGTTTTCAGGTCTACTAACAATTTCGGGTACACAGCTAAATATAAACTTTATTACCACTATCATTTTATTAGTACAATTATAATAATATAAGTGTTCTTTTTAAACTAAAATATGTCCGATTTTTATTTTGAATGAAAGTACCCCATTGTGATTCAAGAATAATCTCTTGACCTTAGGATTGTGCTTGTCAAAAAAAAAAATTGTTTCTTTTTGTTAAAAATTAAAACATTTATTTTTGAAGTGAAAACTTTTTTAGACGCATTTTGCACTTTTTTGTGGAGAGTGAATTAGATTGAGCCGTTAGATTTCCGATGTGTAATGCTCAGGTAAAGTCGACTGATTGAAGTATTTTTGCATATGGAATAAAATATTTCAAAAACTAAAAATAGGTCAGGCATATTGTTATCGAGAGAAATGTACATCATTCCATGCTCTTTGTAATGAGTTATTATTCAAAATTTTATCTTAACGCTACGCCGTTGATGTTTTCACCTCAATCGTGTGGTCTAAAGCACACGATTTAGTTTTTTTTATTTATTTACATCCCTGCCCATCCAATATAGCCATAAGAGATTCGTCAATACTGGAACTTAGCTGAATGAATACAACCAATTTTCTCCAATTCATCGCGGTTTTCTAAGAACTACTACCTTCTTTATTCTATCTATGAGTCATCTATTATGCTTATTTGGTCGGAGATCACTTTGCTTTATCTCAATATACCATCTCCGCCATCAGGCCTCAATCATGTCCTGGATTATTTCTTTTCATCTATTAGGCGCATCCAGAATTCTTACCTGAAGATTTTTCGAAAATCCTGTAGAACATTATCTAATTAAAACATAGCAAACGAAAAAATTGCCTTCGTTTAATAATTAAATTTTAATTTTTTTCTGTTCCAGGTTTCCTGAAGACAGGATCAGACTGGCCCCCCGCAGCAGGAGACATAGCCCTGGCGCTCGGGTGGATCAAGGAGAATATCGGATCCTTCGGAGGTGATCCACGGAGGATATCCATCATCGGCCACGACACGGGGGCCTCCCTGGCCAACCTCCTCCTCATTTCGCCTCAGGCCAAGGGTAAGTGTCATTGTAATAAAGAAATTACCCTGAATCATGTTAATACTTTTTTGTTTGTCCTGTTCTTCCCTACCTCACCTTTTAGGCTATACAGGATTTTCCGAGACCGGAGTGTGAGGGCGGGTAATTTAAAATATCCTCTGGTACCGGAACGCGAACTTTTTCCAATCTCAAAACTCGGTTATCTGTTTGCCGGACAACTCGCGAAGCTGTGCACACACGTTAGCCCATTCATCCACTCCACCCCCTCATATTAATATTTTTTTCATAACGAATTATGAAATAGTCCGTGGTATGAACTTGGATTCTTGAGGAAGGGTGCCTTACTCCCCGAGCTACAGAGCTCCCAAATATTGTATAATATAAACATAAAAGTTTCTCTGGGCTGACAAAATCGTAACAGATCAATTATTCCATGGTACATGGTACTTCGTGAATAGCTTTATGACGCTGCGTTCACGAAGTTTAAAACGGATGTTAATATTTGGATAAAAAGTGCTACACCAGTTTGTACAATGGACTACAGTTTTTACCATCTATCGCCTCTATTTTTCCAATTTCAGTCATCAACACATTGATATATATATATATATATGTATATATATATATATATATATATATATATATATATATATATATATATATATATATATATATATATATATATATTTAAACTTAACTATTTAATTAGGAATAAGGTCACTTATTAATTATTTAATAAACTATTGAATGTTCATTTCTTCTATGTTTATTGACGTTTCGATCCCGGTATTTTCTTTTTATAAGACAAAGATGGGATCCTCTTCAAAGCTAGAACTTTAAAAAATATAGCTTCGATCAGGGCAGGGACACACCGACAGTCTCAGCACCGTCCACTAGCACATATATAAAGCTACTCTTTATTACATATAGCACATATATTAAGAGTAGCTTAATATATGTGTCCCTGGCCTGATCGAAGCTCTATTTTTTAAAATCTAGCTTTGAAGAGGATCCCATCTTTGACTTATAAAAAGAAAATACCGGGATCAAAACGTCAATAAACATAGAGGAGATGAAAATTCAATAGTTTATTAAATAATTAATAAGTGACCTTATTCTCAATTAAATAGTTAAGTTTACATTTGGTACTCAAAAAAGGTCGATTAAGGAAAAATTGTATATATATATATATATATATATATATATATATATACAGGATGTCCCGTAAGTAGAGGAAAATTTTTATAGGAGAGATAGCAGACCTCAAGAGCTACGAAAACGTTCACGTTTTGTAGTTTTTCAAGTGAGTCATATTATTTATTGAATCGAAAACAATAACTAAAGAAATATTTCATTTAAGTAATTAATAATAGCTTTGTTTTAAACAAGATAAAACGTACATTAAATGAAAATTGAGTTCGTCATTATTAAAACCATTTAAAGAGGACTTTTGAGCTGTTAAACTAAGCTAAGTTCTGTTTTTGGAAAAATCATTAATTTTTTTTTTTTTATCGTTATCCAACTATACTGTTATAGTTTCCCCACTTTTACAAAAACGTATTCGTTTGATGAGCTTTAAATTCGTGTTAATTAAGTTGAGATTCATTAAGAAAAAAATTTGAGATTCAGCTCAAATTTTAGGGAAAAAAATGATATTTTTTATTATGTGAAATAAAGGTAGCTCTGTTCTCAGGAAAAATTACTAAAATTAATTGTTGCAAAGATTTAATTTCTTGTTTTCCATGATCTGGGATGTACGTTCCAATAGGTGTTTGAGATCTGCTAAGAGATTTATCGATTGCTTTAGATGATGTAAGACAAAAAAAAAATATTTCAGCTTTGCAACAAAACATTTATAATAAAACAACACATCTTTTCACAAAATCGTCCTATTTGTACTATTGTTTATTTTTTATTATTTTTTTTAATTCATAAACTTTCAAAATGACATTAAATGGAAAGATACTTTTTAAGTTTCAAGGAAAGATCCGTGTACTTTTTAAGTTGTCCGACTGAAAATACTATATTCACTTTATTCTAAATAAAAATTGAAAATTAGACAAAAACTAAATACATTCACTTACCTGCTCAAACCCATCTGGACATACGCCTCACAGATTCACGGTTTAGCTAAAAAGACTCACTTCCAAAAACAACAATCTTTTCAATCTAAATTTTTAACTATTGTTAAAGGTATGTCAACCCCCAGGTATGTCAACAACAAGACTTTACATACCGACCTAAGACAACCAACCATTGACCAGCGCATACGTACTCTCTACTCCCGATTTCATCTTAAACTACCCGGACATCACAATCGACTTATCAAGGACAGGGCCACGGCTGCAATGCTCATCAGGAGGTGACTGAAAAGGAGCTGGATGAGAAATCTCCGTTCCTGCTTTGTATTGGTGTAAACAGACCAGGAAAGAGGTGTTGCTGGGTTCCATTCTTCGTCATGCCTATCATGCCATTTTCTACCAAACAACAAATCTGCAACAACCATGACAAGTTAGGATGAAGACAAAAATAAAAAAAATTTCGGAAAGTTTTACCATCCCTCGTTTTTTTCCAGTTTTTTTTCGATGATATGTAATATACATAAATTAAAAGAGCTTCGAGGAATGAACAGACTTTTGCCATGTTTTATTAAAATCAGTACATTAATTTATGCGCTAGAGTCTATAACGACACAAGTTTTCCCGCCACCATCTTGAATGAAAAGGGCGGCTAGTAATGGCGAGTTCCAAAGATGTTCCTCGATTTTGAGGGAGAGGATTAAATTTTTTTCTCAGTTGATTACGAAGAATTAAATTAATCAACCAAAAAGACATAGTAACATTTCGTAGCCTTTAATTACTAATAACTCTCTTTTGTGATGAATTTCACCTTTGTGAAATCGGAAAATTGTGCGTTTGTTGGAATTACATTTGATACATAAAAGGGTTTTTGTCATTTAGGTGTACATTTCGGTGTACTTGAAATGAAATCTAAATTCACAAAAACATTCTTAAAAGCTTCATCAGCAGTGAACTTAACGTTAGTGGTGTTTTGCAATAACATACGAAATGCGAGCTGCCTTACTTTGTTATTGATCTAAATAGACTTCTTCGAACAGTTTGTGATTATATAGCTACAAGGGCACGATTCAAGCGAAAATTTGTCTTAAGTTGTGTTCTCGGAAGAGATCAAAGCAATCATAGTAGAGATTAGAATTCACTCTCCATTTATTAGTAAATTTAAGCTGTTACAATATTAAACAAGCTTTGTCCTACCTCAAAGGGACAATTATGCTTACTGGAGCAACTAAGCCGATTATGTACCAACTTTTATCTTATTCCACGAACTGCTTAGCAGCTAATTATACAAGTTTTTTTAGGGCTCGTTAATCATTTTAAAAGTTATTCTTGAGAATATTTTTTTCTGAAAAACTTGTTATCTGATTCTCAATAATGAAAGTTCTGCTTTGTGCTAAGAGGCCAAAGGTCTTGGGATTTTTTTATCTTCCTCAATGCTACTGAACGCTTTCCTTTCCTATATATTTCATATGTAATAATAATAATAATATATTATTTATTCTGAGAGGAGTCTCTTTAGAATAATACAGAAAGACAAAAATGTGGGCTAAGATACATAAACAAAAATACAGAGTAATTAAATAGTCATAATAAAATAATAAAAAAAATATTTATGTTACTTTTTAATTGTAATAAGTTAATAATAAAAAATAAAATAAAAACATGAAATAAAAATAATGAAGAACAACGATATAATAATTTAAATACATATTTACAGTAGCATCTACTTAAAATTGTATGGGGACTGCAAGGATAAGAAATGATTGAACAGACGGGATTTAAAGATGGGAAGGGTATTGGATTGACTAATGTGGGAAGGGATGGAGTTTCATAGATATCGGGAATCTGATAGTGAACGATCTGTCGAAAGCAGCGGTTTGGTGAACCCTTTTGTATAAATCAGAAATCCGGGAACGAACAGAGGATTTGAATTTAAGGAGAGTTCGAAAATGTATGGAGGACGGTGGGATTGGATGACTTGAAAGAGGAAGGATGCCAGGAAATATTTAAGACGGTAGGAAGGATTAAGCCATTTCAACTCTACATAAAAACCGGAAACAGAGGCGTCCCTTGGGATCCCGAAGATGAATCGTACAAAGCAATTTATCAAACGTTTTAGTTTCGCCTCGATATCCCCAGAGACGGTCCCATATACCGTACAGATAAGTCAAAGTAATAATTAGAGCCAACAAAACTACAAATGACAACTAAAATCTCATAACTATTAAAAGGAAAAATAAGGTTTGTTTTTTTTATTTACCTTAATTTTCCACTCACATCTGTCAGAAGTTTCGACGACCATCGAGTGTGATGTCTATCTTTAGGTCTTTATGTAAAGTAATGTTATTGAGGTACCAGAAAGTCTTTGATAACATATATTGATAATAATCCTGGAAGTTTTTGATAGAAAGGTCTATAGCTTGCGTCAGTAGGCCTTTTTGGCTGTCCCATATATCTGTGAAGCGTAGGTCCAAATGGGCTTAGGTAGTTAAGTATATGTATTCAATTTTCGTCTCAGTTTTAATTGAGAATGTCTTGAAAGAAGTGAGTATAATAGTCGTAATCTTAGGTTTAGAGTTTTTGATTTGTAGTTCACATGCCATTGCCTTTTATCAAAGGTCAGTCCAAGATATTGAACTTTGTCTGTCTGAGGAATTTGGACATTGTCAAGGTAAATAAAAGGGCAAGTTTCACGTGGAAGGGTAAAAGTGATATGTAGTGATTTGTCTTGGTTGAGTGGAATTTTCCAGAGTGTACACAATTCGTGGAATTGGTTTAGATGACATTGACATACATAAGAACAAAATTGAATTTATTTTTACAATTAGAGAGTAATCACAACGTTTATTATTAATA